TTTGTTTGTTTGTTTCGCTCTAGGGCACATGCACTTGCCAGAGAGAGACACAGAGATAAAGAGAGAGAGAGAGAAAGTGGGAAATGACCTCTCAGTGGGTAATCCCTTCTTCTCCATTCTCCTCTTGGAATTTTGGGCACACACGCACATGTGCCCAGTACCATTTTTCAAGCCGCTGGATCCTGGACTCGAACAGTGAAGTTAGTCATGTGCAAATCCAGCAGCCTTAACCACTATGCCATCAGCTGGCCCTCTTTGGAGATTTTAAGCATATAGCCTAGACTCTCAGTTTTGGTCAAGTCACCTGAGAGGCTATGGCCTGGTATCTTTAACTACACGTTCAATATAATACGCATTGTGTGTATTGAGGTTCCCTGGAGAGATCTGTGGATGGCTACACGAGAGGGGATTTGTTGGACAATGGCGGTGGCCGAGGCAGCCCCTACTGGTCTGCAAGCCAGAGACTCTGGGTACCGGCAGGTGGCTTAGTCTAAGTCTGATGGTCTCAGAGGTGGGGAACCTGATGGTGTAACTCCTGGTCTGCGGCTGAAGGTCTGAGAACCTGGGAGACCATGAGTGTAAGCCCTGGAGCCCAAACGTAGGTGCGCTTTGAATCCCGATGTTCAAGGCAGCAGAAGGGTGAGTCTGCGCTGCTCTCGAAAGGAAACCAATCTGCCTCCTGATTTTCTCCAGCTGGAAAGACTGAACGTGCCCGCCCACGCTGAGGGCAGGTCTTCCCCACCTCATCCGCTCAGACTCACAAGTTAATCTGCTCTGGAAACACTCAGCGGCCTACGCAGAATAATGCTTTACCAGATTTCTAGGTATTCCTTAATCTGATCAAGCCGATATCCCAAATTACCCATCACGTACAACTATTTAGGTTACCTATTCCTTCTTGATGGGCTTTGTGTAGTTTGTGTCTTTTTTTTTGGAGAGATTTTTGCTATAGGGCGCGCGCTCGGCAGACAGACAAAGAGAGACATAGAGACAGAAAGTGAGAAATCACCCCCCAGGGGGGATGGCCACGCCGCAATCCCTTCTCCTCCATTCTCTTCTCGGGATTTTGGGCACGCACGCACATGCGCCCGACCTGAGTTTTAAGCCACCGGGTCCGGGACGCGAACTGAGGTCGACTACATGGGAGTCCAGCGACATAGCCATTACGCCAACTGCTGATTCCCTGTGTCTTTCTTTTTAAAAGTTATCTATTCGATTTTATTTATCATTATTATATTTTTAAATTTGCTACAGAGCATGC